CTTTAGATGTCCCAAAGTTCACAACAGGTGAAGAACCACTCAAAGCAGACAACCTACGACTAGACTTCTTATGATCAACAGATCTTCTTCCTCCTTCCACAAGATCACCTTTCTTAGGAAGCAAATCCACAACAGAAGGAGGCGTGTTCCAAGCAGGAGGGCTCGCAGAAGGATCTCTAAGTGACCGTGACCTTTGGAGAACAATGAGGTCTCTCATTAAGGCACGGTCAGTTAAAACAGGACTCTGCTTATGCATATGGTTCTTCAAATGAATACAATTCGTTAAATGGATGTGGTTACGAAGATGCTCACCGATATCTCCATTTGCATCTTTCAGAATTCGATTATTCCTTGTTGAAGAAGAAGAAGCAACCCTTGTCGTAGTAGTCGTCGTCGTCGTCATTTATTCAGAAGAAGAAGAGCTTTGTCTCTTTCCTCCTCGGAATCTTGCATAAGTACCAAATCGAATTGTATCTCATTTTGTTTCCTCTTAAGGAAAATCTTGAAAAAAGTTTCCAAATTTGAAGTGATTTTGTGTAAGAAACTATGGCAATCCGTCTCCAAATCTCAAAAACCCAAATCAAATACTAAAATTAGTGAAATTGAAAACCCAGATGGGAAAGAAAGAAAAATGAAAACTTTCGAGCTCTCTTTACAAGTCAAGGGAAGAAGAAGAAACAGAGAAGCTAAAGGATCAAAATTTATGCTTCTTATACACTGAAGATGAGAACTTGTATCTCAGTCATTAAAGAAGATGAGAGAGATTGAGAAATTGATGGAGGCAAGTGGGCATCGTTGTTTAGTGACATCATCAGCCACAGAACAACAGAAATCAAGAGAAAGAGAAAAAGGAAAGAAACGGCAGCGTTTTAAAGGCAATCACAGATCTCTCCTCTTTCTTCACCAAACTTTCACATGCAGGATTCAGAGGAAACTGATGGGTTTCTGGAGAAAACGATGGCTTTTGGCAGAGTGTTAAAACACCTCCTTTTAGGGTAGAGGGTTTTGTTGTTTTTCGGTTTCTAGAGAGAGAGAGAAATGAAAGAGGAGACAGATCTGTTGCAGACACGAACACAGAGGCATATGATAGGAACAAAGCCAATAAAGAAGTGTCCGTTTGTAGGAGAAGCATGCAATAGAAATTGATGTTTTTTCTTCTTTTCCTAAATTAAAAAGTTTGTGAATTTTTTTTCTATGAGACCATTACCATAAAGTTTCGAATCGACCTTTGAAGTATACGGCTTGGTTTTTTGTTATTTTTTTGTACGAATTTAAAAACTAGTCGTTGGCATTTATTTTATCC